AAGTGTTCATGAGCGTGCAAGAGCAGGAATATTATGATAGAATCATGTTGCTCGTTAGAGCAAAGTTTGACAAAATAGTCAAAACTGGTGAGACTATCGAAGACGGTTTAAAATCAGGAATGATAGTCCGTGTAGCCCCATCACCTGTATCTTCAGGTTGTTGAGAAAGAAGAGAGAAGAAGTCGCTGCTATTTCATACGGGGGAAGGAAAAACCCCAGGAGCTCATCATATTCCCAAGGTCGTTCTCAGCCTTCCCCAAAGTCGTACCAATCTTGTTATACGCCATCTAGTCATCCCAATAATCAGAATGCTACCTCCATTTATCCAAACGTCCAAGCTCCCGTATATCAAAATCCACCCCACAATTACCAAAGTCCATCTCCCATTTACCCAAATCATCCTCCACCCTACCAAATTCCATCTCCCTACCAGGGTGTTGCTCCCAACTGCTATAACGCACAGTCGAGCTACCGAGCACCCCCTCCTGTTTGTCAAGTTCAAGGTCCACTGTGCCAAAATCCTCCTCCGAATCACCAAAATCCATCGCCGAATTACCAAACAAATGCATATACCAAAAGCGAAGCTCCCCGTCCAAATACTAGAAATTATGAAAAGGTGCGTCCTCCTCAACAAGGCACTTATGACCCTCCCCGACCCAGATTTGAGAAGATGCCTTCAAGGAACTTTACTGCACTCGCTAAAAGGCGGACCAATCTATATGAGAGATTGGTTGTGGCTGGATACATCCACCCTGTGGGGCCCAAACCCGTGGATGTCAATTCAAAATTCTACAAACCCGATCAGACATGTGCTTATTATTCCAACAGTTTTGGGCATGATACTGAAGATTGTATCAACCTCAAGCATAAAATTCAGGATCTGATTGATCAAGAGGTAGTCTCTCTCCAACCGGCGGCACCAAATGTCAACACAAACCCGTAGCCGATCATGGAGGCATCAACGTCAGCATGATCGAGACAGATAAAAACTGGTGTGGAACAAAGATGATTACTCCCATCGTTCACGATGATTTGGAAGGAGTTGTCGCTTCTTTAAGAGTCAAATAAAAGAGAGAGTTTAGTATTTTAACACCTGCAAAGGTTGTTGCCTCGGTTTCGTCAGAAAGTCTCGTCAAGCCTGAGTTTGTTATTGATACTGCTGCTGCTCAAGGCATGACCAGGTCTTGAAGGTGTTACACTCCAGACGAGATTGCTCTCACAGGACAGAAGAAGGATTAGGCCAAAATGCCGATAAGCGAAGGAGAAGCGGAAGAACTCTGGAAAATGATGCAACCAAAGAATTATTCCATCGTCAAGAATTTTGAGAAGACTCCAGGTCAGATATCTGTATGGGCCCTGCTGAGCTCTCAATCCTACAGGCAGGCCTTAATGAAAGCTCTTGATGATGCATATGTACCCGCGGGCACAAGCAGCGATACCGTGGCCGCCATGATTCACCAGGTTATTCGAGGGCACCGAATCAACTTTGTGTCGATGAGCTGCCTGTCAATGGGAGATATCACAACAAGGCATTACACATCATTGTGGTATGCCGTGAAAAGGTTGTCAACCGCGTCCTAGTAGATGATGGATTTGGTATGAATATATGCTCGTTGTCGACGTTGAGGCAGCTAAGGTTTGACCTTAGGAAACTAGAGCAAAACCTGGTAAATGTTAGAGACTTTGATGGGGTTCAAAGATACACATTGGGAGCAGTGAATTTGACCATTCAAATGGCCCCGCGGAATTCAACGAGCAATTTCAAGTATTTGATATTGATACGAGTTACAACCTTTTCGTGGGAAGGTCGTTCATCCATATGGCTAGAGTCATCCCCTCTACTCTCCATCAGCCGCTGAAACTCATGTGGAACAACGAAGAGCAGTTTATTCATGGCGAGAGGAGTCACCTTTGGAGACAGGTGTCGATCATTGATTAGATATCATGAGGTACACACTTTTACACGGTGGAGCTGGTGAATTCCATTGGCGAAGAATTGGACCCACAGACACCCATGCCTGCCGTATACAATATAATAGCCACTGTTATGCTGCAAAATGGTTTTGAGCCAGGATTCGGATTAAGAAAAGATTCTCAAGGAATTATTGAGCTTGTTTCGCTCCTCGTTAGGGATCCAAATATGGTTATGGGCACATCCCCACAGATGATGACATGAAGGTGACGAAGAAAAATGATCAAGCCTTAACTAAGCTGATCCCACATCTGTATCAATCTTTTCCAATCTGGGAGTATGCCGAGCATGAAGACCTTAGGGAAGATATCTGTGACTTGTTCGATGAGATTGATGCTGTTGTCGAGGAAGGGGTCAAGCTAGCTGGTATTCGCGATGCTGAGCCAGGGGAGGACCTCTACGCTTATCATGATACCCCGAACTCTTCGGTAGAAAGGCATCATTTGATAAATATTAAAATCGGTGGTAGTCCAGAAGATGCCCGAGACCCACCATTTTGCATTTTCTAACCTTTTAAAATTTCAAATTTTCATTGTGATGTTCAAAAAAGGCAACATGGCCCATGCCATGTCCAGAGTTTGCATTGTTTTTAAATGAATGCCTCTTTGTTCTTAACTTTATTTATTTAGTCGTTTGTCATACCTTACTTTCTAATTTTGTCTATTTATGATTTCAGTAACATGAGTTACAGACCTGCTAATGTCATGTCATGTCACGAGTTAAATGAACAAAATGAGGCAGGTGACGACAAGGTCGACGATTATGAAGAAGAAAGTGAGGAACCAGATTATGTCGCCGAGGAATTTCGGCAGTTCAAGAATCAGCATAAACCAAATCTAGAGGAAACGGAAACAATGAATTTGGGAAATCCAAAATGTGTCAAAGAAATTAAGATCAGTATCCACCTAAATGAAGCTTAGAAAGAAGGCCTAATGCATTTTGTTACTGAATGTACCAATGTGTTCATCTGGGAAGTCGGTGACATGCAAGGGTTCAGTACCGATGTCGTATCTCATAAGCTGCCTATTAACCCAGGGTTCGATCCGGTGAAACAAAAAACTCAAAAAGTCAATCCTGAATTGAGTTTGAAGATTAAGGAAGATATCACCAAGCAAATAGAATCCCGATGGTGGAAGTGACACAATATCCTACTTGGTTGGAAAATATTGTTCCGGTCGCCAAGAAAGACGGGAAAATTAGAATTTGCGTCGACTATAGAGACCTCAACAAAGGTAGACTAAACGATAACTTTCCACCGTCAAAAATTTATATTTTGATTGATAACTGCGCAAGACATGAAATGCAGTCATTTGTTCACTGTTACGCAGGCTATCACCAAATTCTGATGGATGAGAAAGACGCAGAAAAGACGGATTTCATTACGGCTTGGGGTATATATCACTACAGGGTTATGTCGTTTGGCCTTAAGAATGTGGGTGCCACCTACATGAGAGCTATGCTGACCATTTTTCACAACATGATTCATAAGGAGATTGAAGTGTATGTGGATGACGTCATAATCAAGTCTCGTGAGAGTTTGGACCACTTGACACATCCAAGGAAATTCTTTGATCGTTTGCATCGTTACAACTTGAAGCCGAATCCCGCCAAATGCACCTTTGGAGTTCCAGCCGGGAAGTTGTTGGGCTTTATAGTCAGCAGAAGGGGCATTGAGCTCGACCATTCTAAGATTAAAACAATTAAAGAGTTACCTCCACCGAAGATGAGAAACGAGGTGATGAGTTTCTTAGGGAGGTTACACTATATCAGTCGATTCATAGCTCAATCAACCGTGGTGTGTGAGCCTATTTGCAAGCTGTTGAAGAAAGACGCCCCGATAAAGTGGAGTGAAGAGTGTCAGACTGCTTTTGATGCTATCAACAACTATTTGTCAAATCCACCGGTAATGGTTACTCCGCGAGAAGGGAGTCCTTTGTTGCTGTACTTGTCTGTCTCAGATGGTGCATTCAGATGCGTACTTGGTCAACATAACGAGACAGGAAAGAAGGAAAGGTCTATCTATTATATAAGCAAGAAGTTTAATCCATACGAGTCTTGTTACACTTTGTTGGAGAGAACGTGTTGTGCGTTGACATGGCTTTCCCAAAAGTGGAGACACTATTTTGTCTTCGTATATTACATATCTCATTTCCAGAATGGATCCATTGAAGAATATTTTCCATAAAGCGATGCCGACCGGAAAGTTAGCTAAATGGCAAATGTTGTTGAGTGAGTTTGATATCGTGTATGTGACTCAGAAGGCAATAAAGGCACAAGCTTTGGCTGATCATCTAGCAGAAAATACCGTTAATGAAGACTATGAACCACTTAAGACTTATTTTCACGATGAACAAGTATCATTTGTAGGTGAAGATATTTCTGAAGTGTATCCATGTTGGAGATTATTCTTTGATGGAGCGGCAAATCAACAAGGTAAAGGTATTGGAGTAGTCTTAGTGTCACAATCTGGTCAGCACTATCCCATGGCGGCTAAGCTCTGATGTAATTGCACAAACAACATGGCCAATTACAAAGCTTGTGTTCTTGGTTTGAAAATGGCCATAAGCATGAATGTCTACGAGTTGTTGGTTATTGGAGATTCAGATTTTTTGATTCATCAAGTACAAGGAGAATGGGCTGTGAAGAACCCAAAGATTATACCTTACATACAATATGTGCACAAGTTGTGCAAAAGATTTCGTAAGATTGAGTTCATGCATACTCCCAGAATACAGAATGAATTGGCCGATGCTCTTGACACCATCACTTAGATGATTAAACTTCCGGACAAATATTATATTGATCCTCTGGATATAGAGTTGAAAGAACATCCAGTTCATTATTCCCATGTTGAAGCAAAACCAGACGTTTTACCTTCGTATTTTCATATAAAGAAGAATTTGGAGTCTGGAACTTATCCCGAAGATGCCACGTCCAATTAGAAGAAGTCGATACGCTGTATAGCTCTCTATTTATTTATAAGTGGAAAAGTCCTATATAAGAGGACTCTAGACTTAGGTCTTCTCAGATGTGTTATGCCGTTGAAGCTGCGAAACTGATTGAACAGAGACATGCTGGAGTTTGTGGTACGCATATGAATGGGATCACTTTGTAAAGAAAGATCCTACGAGCCGAGTATTTCTGGATGACTATAGAGAATGATTGTTGCATGTTTGTACAAAAATGTCAGGTGCACGGTGATTTGATCTGAGTGCCACCTCACGAGCTTAATGCTAGGAGTTCACCTTGGCCATTTGTAGCTTGGGGCATGGATGTCATCGGTCCGATAGAGCCAGCCGCTTCTAATGGACACAAATTCATTTTGGTTGCCATTGATTACTTCACCAAGTGGGTGAAAGCAGCTTCACACAACTCGGTAACCAAGAAAGTGGTGACTGATTTTGTTCGCAACAATCTGATATGTAGATTTGGAGTGCCAAAATCCATCATTTCTCATAACGGTGCGAATATCAGTAGTCACGTGATGATAGAGATATGTGAGCAGTTTAAGGTCACTCATCAGAATTCAACTGCTTATCGTCCCCAAATGAACGGAGCTGTAGATGACGCCAATAAGAATATCAAAAAGATTTTGAGGAAAATGATTGACAAGCATAGAGGTTGGCATGAGATGTTACCATATGATTTACTATGTTATCAAACAACTGTCAGAATATCGACTGGCTCTACTCTATACCTACTAGCATATGGAACAGAAGCAGTCATACCTGGTGAAGTCGAAATACCGTCTTTGGGAATTCTCCAAGAAGCTGAGCTAAGTAATGTTGAATGGGTCAGCAAACGGATTTATCAACTAAATTTGATTGATGAGAAGAGAATTGTTGACGTCTGTCATGGTAAATTATATAGGCAGAGAATGGTTCGCGCCTTTCACAAGAGAGTAAAAGCTAGAATTTTCAAAGTAGGTCAGTTGGTTCTTAAGCGTTTTTTTCCTCATCAAGATGAGTACAAAGGAAAGTTCGCACCAAACTTGCAAGGTCCTTACATGGTTCGTAAAGTATTATCTTGAGGTGCTTTGGTCCTATCGGAGATGGATGGCACTGTATGTCCTAAACCTATCAACTTGGACGTTGTTAAGAGATACTATGTGTGGAGCTGCGTTTGCATTTCTGTTATTTACTTGTAATCATTCTGTTTGCTTGGATTTGTTTTGCTAAAATCTTATCCCTTTGTAACGAGATACGTGTGACCTGAATTCTCAAGAATTATATACGTAGGCGGCCTATGTCGTCCTCGATCATCTAATTTATCCCTTTTAAATATTTCTTTGTATTTGAACTACGTTCGACCTGAATTCTCAAGAATGAGATACGTAGGCGGCCTATGTCATCCTCGGTCGGTTAATTTGTAATTTTCCTAAATTTTGTCGACCTTTGAGAGGGAAACTATGTTTGACCTAATTCCTGCCTCAACGGGATACGTATACGCCCCAAGGGTTCTGTTATATCTCCCGTAAGATTTCTATTCCTCTTACAATAGAATCTGGGACAAAATTTTTGAGAGGGACTCAAAAATTCTTGTGAAGAAGATTCTTCCTCAGTAAGTCAAGACTAAAGATGTTTCGAGATTTGCAATTGGGAAAGAATTTTTCAGAAGATCTCAAAAATTCCGCGATCTACAATGGAAAGATAAGCAAGACAGTTAACTGGGATAGAAATTTTGAGGATGGTCTCAAAATTTCAGCACGGATCTATCTGCAAGTCCGAGGAGACTCTGAAAACACCCCAACGAATAATCAAATAGACCTCCAAGCATCAGACTCAAACAACTTTGTTAAGCCTGATATGACATGACTTGGCAGTGAACTTTTTATGATACTCTTTCTTAAAAGTTCACTTCTCTCTTAAATTCTCTTTTTATGTTTTACTTTTTTGGAATAAAATACTTTGTATTATCTATTAAGAGTCGGGAGATTAGGAAAACAAACGAGATAGCAGGACCACGAGCAGACAACTGAAGAAATCGACAAAGATCAGTATATTTTTAAAACTAATAACTTTTCTGTGGACGCAAGTTTATAGATTTTCTTTGAAATCGGCAAATTCTTCCGATGAATAAATACAGAGAAGTCAAAGGAGGAGAAAACCATCCCATAATCAATAGTTTTTCTAGAAGCATTAATCATTTTATATCACTTATATCGAAGACTTCGGAATATGAATGTGTATGTCGATCAATTTCCAACAACATGAAATTTATACTTTGGTATCCTTCGTTACTATGAATAAAAATTTATTTCACGTCCATATTGCTTTAGCCATTTATTAATTGTTTTATTCTCTGTCTTCTTCATGAATTATGGGATGAGTTCACCCCATTCCACCTTCATTTATCCCTATGCGTTTCTCCTCGAGCCATGGGGACTCCGTCTCATTCATTTCGAGTCCGAAATCAGCGTGCAAATCCAAAGGATGAAAACCCTGAGTGACGCGAGTCAAAAATAGAAGAGTTTGGGCAGAATGCCCATCTTTATTTTATTTTATGTTATTTTGTTGTATTTTATTATGTAGAGGGCCTAAGCCCTTATCGCTTTGTATTATTATATGATTAGTCTAGGACAGGTACAAAACAAGCGGGTCAAAGACCCAAAAGAAATTGGGTCCAAATTCCACTCAAGGCATAAAGAAAACTCGGACTTGGACACAATCTCTCTTTCTCTCTCCCTCTCTTTTTACTTATCGCTTATTTATATTTGATTGCCTCTAGTTTTAAGGTTAGAAACTCACAAATCGTCGCAAACACTACCTTGTTTTAATCACAAGTTTAATATCACTCAAAAAATAATAAACTTAAAATTTGGCAAATCTCAACTAAATAATAAAATGAACGTGTCATTTTCAAAGAAGCTCTCATTAATTTTATTACAAAATAAAGTTAACATTTCCACAACCGTAGGTTAGCGGAATGTCTTAGGTGCTTTCAAACCTTCCTAAGATATTAATATGAATCCCCAAACTCCTTTAATTGTTTTCAATAGACTATTCTGTTAAGTCTTTTGAAATCAAAATTAAGTGGAGACTCTCTAAAAAATCAAAAACAACTTCAAAAAACAAATACTTTCCCAATTTTGGATGAAACACTTATGATTATAATATGTCTTTTGAATAAAAAAGGTGCATATTTCAAATAAGTGTTCGTTTTCATGATTTTTATGCATTATGCCATACTAAGTACATGTGGTTGTACTAATCCATGATTTTATCTATCTCTATAGTTTTTGGTAGGTGAGGAGAATTTGGGAAGGAAGACTTGGATCGTAGCATCTTTAAAGTGAAGTAGAAGTATGTCCTTAATTGATTCGAGGGCATATATACATGTCTTTTATAATTCTTATTGATGTATTGTAATAGACTAAGTATTTTTTATTCGTATTGTGTATGGGACATGGTCCAAGAGTATTTACGTGTCTAAGATTGATGAGATTGAGACTTAGTATTTCCTATGAATTTATGTGAATGATTTTTTAAAGACTATGAAATGTTTTGTAAAAAGTTTTAATTCCGCACTACTTGTCATTATTTATATGCGATGAATGATATTTATGGGATTGTACAAGACCTCTGTGAGGTCAAGTACGTCGGTTGCAATATGAGATTGGCCCTAACTTCTAGGATATGGTTTCGAGATGTGAAACCGTGCTTGGTCAACAAGACGAGATGGGGAAGAAGAAGGTAGAAATTTATTACATAAGTAAGAAGTTCACTCCATAAAAGTCTCGTTATACTCTTTTAGAGAGGACATGTTGTGCTTTGACTTGGATTTCTCAAAAGTTGAGACATTATTTGTCAACTTATTCCACAAACCTCATTTCCAGGATAGACCCGTTGAAGTATAATTTCTAGAAGGCGATGCCAACCTGAAATTTGTCCAATTGGCAAATGCTTTTGAGTGAATTTGATATTGTGTAAGTGACCCAGAAGGCAATAAAAGCACAAGCCTTTGCTGATCACCTTGCAGAATCTTGTCGATTGAGAAGTATGAACCGCTTAACACTTATTTCCCCGATAAAGAGGTATCATTTGTGGGTGAATACATTTCTAAAGCATACTCGGGTTGGAGAGTATGCTTTGATGGAGCGGAAAACCACTAAGGAAGAGGTATTGGAACGATCTTAGTATCAAAATCCGTTCAACACTATCCTATGGCAGTAAACTCCAATTAAATTTCACGAAAAACATGTCTAAATATAAAGCATGCATTCTTGGTTTGCATTATATGAATGTTCATGAGCTTCTAGTTATGGGATATTCTGATTTATTGATTCATCTGATTCAAGGAAAATGGGCCGTGAAAGAACCGAAGATTACATTGTGCGTGCAATATATATAGAAGTTGTATAGAAGATTTTGTAAGATTGAGTTCAGATACACTCCCAGATATAGAATGAGTTAGATGTTGCTCTTGCAACCATCACCCCAATGATTAAATATCCGAATAAAGGCTATATTAATCCTCTTGATATAGAGGTAAAGGAGCAGCGACGGTTTGCCATGTTATTTTGATATCAAGAAATATTTAGAGACCTGGACTTATCTTGAGAATGCGACATTTAACCAAAAGAAGTCGATACGCCGTATGGATCTTAATTTATTTCTAAGTGGGGAAATCCTTTATAGGAGGACTCCAGATTTAGGTCTTCTCAAATGTGTTGGTGCTGCTGAAGCTTCAAAGATTCTTGAACAAATATATACTGGAGTTTGTGGTAATCACATGAATAAACTCATTCTATCATGGAAAATCCTTCGAGCCGTTTTATTTTTGGAGGACTATAGAGTATGATTGTTGCAACTTTGTGCAGAAATGTCATAAATGTCAAGTGCACGATGATTTGATTCGACTTCTTCCTCAGAACTCAATGCTATGAGTTCACCTTGGACATTCCTAGCTTGGGGCATGGATATCATTGGTCCAATAGAGCCAGCCGCCTCTAATAGACACAGATTCATTTTGGTTGCCATTGACTACTTCAGAAAATGGGTAGAAACAATTTCGTACAAATCGGTGACCAAGAAAGTTGTATATGATTTTGTTCACAACAATCTAAAATATAGGTTCGGAGTACCAGAATCTTTAATTACGGATAATGGTCCAAAATCTTAATAGTCACTTGATGAGAGATATATGTGAGTAATTTAAGATTACTCACCGTAAATTAACTGCTTATCGTGCTTAGAAGAATGGAGCCGTTGAGGCCACCAACAAGAACATCCACCAGATTTTCAGAAAAATGATTGAAAATCACCGAGGTTGGCATGAGATGTTTCCATATGCTTTGTTGGGATACCGACGAAGTATTAGAACGTCGATTGGAGCTACCCCATACTTATTAGTTTACAAAACACAAGCAGTCATACCTGCTGAAGTTTAGATACCTTCCTTGAGAATCATTCAAGAAGTTGAGTTATGTAATGATGAATGGGTACGCAAGCAGATTGACCAGTTACCTTGATCAATGAGAAGAGAATGGTTGCTATTTTTTAAAGTCAATTTGTTTTTTCCACAAGAGAGTCAGATCGAGAATATTCAAAATCGGTCAGTTGGTCCTTAAACGCATTTTTCCTTATCAGGATTAGTACAATGGGACATTTTCACCGAACTTGGAAAGGACCTTACATGGTTCGCAAAGTATTAGCTGGAGGTCCTTTCACCATGTCGGAGATGGATCGCACCGCATCGCCGAAACCGATCAACTCAGATGTTGTCAATAAATATTATGTGTGACGCTCCAGTTTATATTTCTTTCATTTCCTTGTATTGGTTCTATTTTCTTGTATTTAATTTGTTCAAATTTTATCCCTCTTGTAATGAACTACGTCTGACGTGAATTCTCAGGAATGAAATACGTAGGCGTCCTATGTCGGCCTCATTCACTCCATTTATCCTTTTTAATATTTCTTTGTATTTGAACTATGTTTGACCTGAATTCTCAAGAATGAGATACGTAGGCGGCCTATATCGGCCTCGGTTGATTTCTTTGTAAAACTCTTATTTGTTGTTAACCTTTAAAGGAGAACTACATTTGACATGATTTTTTACCTCAACAAGATACGTCGAAGCCACAAGGATTCGGTCATATCTCATGTAAGATTCCTATTTTTCCTTTATAATAGAAATTGGGAAATTTTTTTAGAGAGGGACTCAAAAATTCTTTAGAAGAAGATTTCCTCAACAAGTCAAGACTGATGTTACTTTGAGATTTGCAACTGGGACAGAAATAAGCCAATACCGTCAGTTAGAGATAAGCCAATACCGTCAACCAGGATAGAAATTTTGAGGATGGCCTCAAAATTTCATCATGGGTTTATCGGAATATAGAGCAACCTTAAATGTTTTTAAACAAATAATCATATAGACCTCCAAGCATCAGACTCAAAGAAATCCGCTAAGTTTGATGTGACATGACACTTGGCAGTGACCTTTTCCAAATGCTACTTTTGAAAATCTATTTTCCTAAAAGTTCTCCTTTATATTTCATCTATCTTTGCATAAAATATTTTGTCTTATCTATCAAGAGTCGGAAGTTCAAACAAATAAATCGAAGATTGCACGAAAAGGAGCACACAGCCGATGAGATTGACACATATCAATTCATTTTAAAGTGAAAATTTTTCTATGGATTCAGGATTATAGGTGTATCTCTAAATTAGTATATTCTGCCATCCAACGAATATGTAGAGGTGAAAGGCGAATACCTCACAAAAATTTACAATTTTCTGTGGTTGCAAGAAATATTTTACACTGCTTATTTCGAAGATTTTGGAACATGAATATCATTATCTCATTCAATTCTCGACAACATAAAGCCTATAATGAACATCCAACTATGTTCAAGGATGGATACAATGAAAACGCCGAGAAATATATTTTATGATTTTTCATTGAGGACGTTATTTGCATCATATTATCAAACATGATAATATCAGTACCCGAAGAGTCATTTTACTATATCATCGATTGAGATGATACACTACCCATAGGGTAAGTTTATTGATATTGTCAATTTAGATGATACACTACCTGGAGGGTCATTTTACCTTATTGTCAATTGAGATGATATCTATATGTAGAAGGCACCTAAAATATACCTATATTGCTCAATTGAAGCATTATCTTCATTTGGTACCAAGGATGGAATCGTTAAGAAGATATTCATGCATTGCGAGAAATGTCATGCATCGCGAGAAGATATTCATGCATCGCGAGAAATTATTAATGCATTGTGTGAAATTTCATGCATCGCAAGAAGATATTGATGCATTAAGATAAGATATTCATGCATTCTGAGGAATGTCATGCATCGCGAGAAGATATTCATGCTTCATAAGAAAATATTCATGCATTGCGGGAAAAATGTCATGCACCGGGAAGGGATATTCATGCATTGCAAAAAATGTCATGCATCATGAGAAGAGGTCATGCATTAAAAGAGAGGGAATCCATATATCTCGGAAGAGAGTTTATGGATAGCAAGAGAAAGAAATTCATTCATCGCGGAAAGAAATCATGCATTGCAAGAGAAACAAATTCATGAATCGCGAAAAAGATGACATGCATTGTAAGAGAGGAAATCCATGCAACGCAGAAAAGGAATCATGAATTGACAAAAAAGGAAATCGTGTATACACAGAGTAATATTTACCCATCAACATCAACTGCATCTTTTATTTGGCAAGAGTAACACCAAAAGAATAATGAACGACGACATCGAGAGAAATATCTGCACTACATCAACCTTTTACTACTTTGGCACCAAATGAGAGTACATTGAAGATTATATTTAAAACATAAGATATAAGCTTTATTTGCTTTACGTCAGACCCAATAGAGTTGACATCAAATGCTTAAAGAGAGCGATCAAGTGTCAACACGGTAAAAAACACTATCTTCCATTTGAATTGCATTTTATGCTAATGAGATTTATCTCAGTCTCTATCGAGAGGATCCAAAAGGATTAATCCTCCAAAATAGACCACAGGTACGAACAACATCAAAAGGATACAACACAACATGGAACTTTTTCTTAACAGCGAAATGGGACATAGTCAAAAGAGAGTGTCAAACTCTTAGAACACGAGATGAGGAGCGACTTTCACCACATTTAAACCACACCTTTATCAAAACACATATGGTTTTTCTTGGGATTTCTTGGTTTAAGTTTAGCATCTAGAAATTTTGGCTTTCACTAGAGGCATCTTTCTAATCAGAGTGAGAGTGCACCGAGAGCTTTGGAAATTATGTAAGTGTAAGTTCTTATTTATGGGTGTGAAGTGCACCACATTAATGACTACGAGGTTGCAAGCCTCTTTTTAATACTCGACTTATTTGTCACTCTTCTAGAACTGAAGGTTATCTTGCATAATAAATTTTCTTTCCAACCGATTGAATTAGACTACAAACAACCTGATTCCTAAGGTTTAAGGATATGTAGGCGGACTCAATTTTTAAAACTTCATTGTATTCTAACATTCACTCTTAAATATTACTCCTGATTATCTTGGTCCCTTCATGATTTGGTTTCGGGGTGGCCTTTGAATTCTTTCAAAATCATGTGTTAGATCAAACTTATTGAACTACAAGTGGCCCAAAATCTCATATAGCCTAAGATATATAGGAAATCTATCTCCGTGTTCGGCCATAATTGCTAAAGTCCGTACAAAAAGCCGTTTCCTAAAGATGGTCGGTCAAAATTAGCTTGGTCAACTTCATTTTCCTTGAACTTCTTGCACCAGTCCAAGTAAAATGAGAGACAGTTGTTGACATCAAATTTTGACCCTCCCCAATAATAATTAGTTAATGAGAATCTTAATTCTAAACAATTTGAAATAATTAGATTTTATAAAGTTTCAAAGATTTTTCAAGTAAATATATATTAATCTTATACTTTTTTTTCATAATTTTAGATAATACATGTAAGCTACGTAATTACATACTTATGTATATCATAAACATTTTTATGAATATTCAAAATCGCCTAAAAATATTTCGTTCTTCTTAGAGTTTTTTCAACTATTTTAGTTACATAATAGTGTATATTTTAAAATTTTTAGTTTATAATTAGGGTAATTATTTTATTTTGTTAAGGTTATAAAGCTCATCTATTATTTATTCTTAATATATTGTATCTTAAATTCTAGCCAAGATTCGCTAAATTAATTCAACTTTGCCAAATTATGTTTTTAATGAGCCATGACTTCAAAACCATTTTGGGCCTCTCATATCTTGACTTCCAACAACCCAAAACGTTCTAAGGTTATGAAGCCCATTACCTTATTCCATGAACCCGATCCAAGCACAAAAAACCCTACCCATTCCTAATTTCAACTATTTTTCAATGTTCCAAACAACTTAACCCGACCCATCCTTCTTTTTCTTCACTAAAAGGTAAGAACCTTGATTTTAACTCCCTGTGCGTGTCTCTCCTTCGCGCTTCCAAACAACGCGATCCAACCCTCTAGTTCTCTCCTCCGTAATACGTGAAACCCAACAAAGAGGCACGCCAAAAGCAGCAGCAAGGACATGCGCAGCGGTACCAAGTATAATCTCCTTGTATTTTTCCTCGATGTCCCTCTCAATTAGTACCATCGTAGCAGAAAAATAATAGGAGCACATGAAATTGTCCTTAGCGTGATATAGCTCCACGTATCATCTCAAGGAAAAGATATTGATCCCAGCCATCAATTCTTTCTTTCCTCTTCCGAAATGGGTCAAAACTTCAAAAAAAAAAGTTACTTGTCCAAAAGGGTGAAAGATTTTGAGTTTTGAGTTTTGATTTTGGGCCTTTCAGTCCGTAGTGTTTTTCGTCCGTTCCCCCCCAACCCCGCCCCAATTTGCCATAATTCTTAGACTATAAATATGCTATTTCTTTTTCTTTTGGAGGTTGTTCAGTGTTGGGAGAAAAGGAGATTTAGGACAGAAAATGATTTTTTGAAAATCTTGGATCGATAATACATACAGCTTAAGGTGAAATAGTTGAAATACACACTTAGTGCTTCAAAGAAAACAGAGGAGATAGTTTGTTCAGTTTTGAGATTTATATCTCTGTAAAAACGTCCAATTACTGTTCGTCTCTGTGCTCATGTGGTGAAGGTCTTCGCTGCCTGCTCACTCATTCAAAATCACTGCACATGAAAAGGTAACCCCTTCAGATTTCTACTCGTTTCATTATTGTTTCACGCGCTCTCCTCGAGTAACTCTGTTCTCTGCCTGATTCATTGTTGTTGTGTGTTGAAAGTTGTTTTGGCTTTCGAGTGGGTTTTAACTTAGTAGATTAATATGAAAGGCATTCTTTCCGTGAGTCGTTCATCTCTTGGCGTTTACAGATAGGCTAAGTGAAGAAGTGAGGATAATTGTTCCTGTCTTCTTGAGTGTCTTTGTTGTTGGCTGAACAATTTGTTAACTTTGCATTCTGAATATTAAAATTTGCGGTGTTTTTATGTTCTTTCAAAAAAAATTGTAAACTATATGGCTATTGATGTTTAAACTTTCTGTTTGCCTGTTATTCCGCGTTGTTTCAAGTATTTATCGTTCATCCACCGTCTGTTCCTGTCGGACTGACTCGTGAAATATTTCGATTATTGTTATGCATATAAGAATGTGGTCTAAAATGTACATGTCAGCTGTGTTTGTCTTCAAATCATTTTCTATCACCCTAAAAAAATTGTTACACTACTTGTTTATTTTTCCAAAATTTTCATCGATATGTTTTTTCAGTTTTAAAATGTTTCACTCATCTTAGACTATTTTTAATTCGATGTTAGTATACATTATTGCATCGCACTCGACGTCATCTTCTTCTATCTCTCGTTGCAAGTTCGGAGAATGAATCAAGATGTCAAAATTTGAAGTCCATTTACTATCTGTATCGTTGCTTGTTTTAGGGTCTTTAGTTGTTTGTTTAAATCATGTTTATTCGTACCCCTGCTCGATTGGTTTGAAATTTAACTCATCTTGTCACTTTCGTTAATTTGAATCAAAATGTCTCTTTCTGTTTATGTGTGGATTCGACGAATACATAGATTGATGGAATCAATAGCTCAGTTGTGATTTGTTTGTATTATTTGGTGCCAACAACCATTGAAATTGCAGTCACTGTTATTCCCTATTTAGTTTTCAACTAAATATTTATTCCTATCTTTTTTATATTGACTTTTAGTTGAGAGTAACTATGGCCTTATTTATTCATTGCTTTCCTCTTCAGTTAATTATTAATTTGTAAATAAAATGGCAGATTTAGGGAAGAAGTGTCAGAATCATTTATGGGCTTTAAATGCTAGAATGTGATTAAAAATTACTGCCAAACTTGATTTTGTTTAAAATATTCATATAGTTGTCCTTGTATAATAATCATTTTTATTTCTTAAAGTTGTCACATGTTTTGAATATATCTTTATCTGTTAGGTATATTCTTGGATAAAACTATTGGTTCAATTGCCTTCTATTAACCAGCCTCTTATTTATTTCTTTATCTTAAGGTGCTTCAGTTGAACTTCCTTTCTATACCTTTATTTCAGGATTGGTCTATTAAAGTTAAAATAACATACTAATTTTTTTTGTCGCATGAGAGAATATACCCGAGTTCACCAAGAACTCTCATCTTTCCCTTACATTTCGAGAGAGATCTAAAGTATCATACTTCCTCTTATCAAGTCAACCAGCCTTATTTGAACAAACATACAAGTCCCAAAGCGGAAGAACTTGAAGATATTGGACCTTAAATGCCCAAATTTATTTGAAATATTGTATTTTGTCATTTCTTGGGCATGAGCACTTGTGTTTTTTTAAAATTATTCTACTATTACTGTATGATTAGTGTAGGGTAGGTACGATTGAAGTGGGTCAAAAGCGCAACAAAAAATGGGTCCAAATACCGGTCCAGGCGAAAAGAAACCAGATTTGGACCAAACTCTCTCTCTCTTACTTTATCGCATTTATTTCCTTCTTTGTCAATATCTATTGTTACTTTTAGGGTCAAAAAAATTAAATCCTCGCAAAACGCCATATCATTTTGACAATTTAAGCTAAATCAACCCATGTATAAAAAGATTTAGCGATATAAATTTTTCAAAGTTAGTTGTTGGATTACCACAAGTTAGTTGATATTTTACGTGCCATAAAAAACCTTCCTAAAATATTTATAAGAAGCCCCGAACCCCCTTTAAACTTTTCAATGGATTTGGTGTTTGAGAATTTTTAAAACAAATGTTTCTTGATTTTCCTAAAATTAAGTGATGATTATAACAAGTCTAAAATACTAAAATATTTTTTCCAAAATAAAACATGGCCCCACTTCTATAAATGAGGGACTACAAAGATTTAGGAAAAGTTTCCCTTCATTCATACTTTAAATCATCTAATAGAGTTGTGTGCTAAGGAACTTAGTCTAACTCGTGCATTCCTCAGATTCATTTGAATGCCACTCATACTCAAGGTAGTTTAAAAGTAAAGTTAAGTTTATTATCGATGAGTTACACTAGCCTAAACTCTTTTGAAATTCATGATACTACAAAGGGTCTTAAGAGAAGCCCATGAATGACTATAAGTGTTCAGATTCAAAAGAATGCACTCTTATTCATATGAATCGTGTGTTTGAGCTAAAAGCAAGATATATTTCCAGACTCTTTTCTCTAAACCTTGTTTTAGTTGAGACCCTTATGAGAAGTATATTTTGGAGCTTGGGTAGTATTTTCACATGAAAAGATAGTAAGAGTTATGAGATTATAAGAAGTGGTAAGAGTCCCCAAAGTTAGAAATAATGCATGTAGAGGTTTAGTAATCTAAGAAAGAGAGAAGGTAATGAGGCAAGCTATGTATTATTGTCATGCAACTTGTAAGTTAGTTTTTAATAAAAAGTTTTCCCTTATGGGTAGACTAAGAGGTCCAATTTTCGTATAGACTTCATGATAAGAGGTAGAGTTATAGTTACTAGTTAGGATGAGGTAGAGTATACTTTAACAAGAAAAGAGGTTATGAAGACATGTCATTGTGTTAGTAATGAGGTGATAACTCTAAGGTAGGCTTATGATCTTTAAAGGAAGCTCATAATATTCAAAGGGTAGTAGAACTAATTAGGAAATGATGTCTGAATGAGTAAATAATACATAAGTCATGAAATAAAATGTTATGATAATTTGTATGTACGTAGACAGAGAGATAAAATTGACCACTTTTGATGAGATTTTAGTGGGAGAGTATTTCGTAATATGTATCTAGTAAATGTAAGTTAGTATAGTAAGTAGTTGATCATATTGATATTTGAGTTTAGTAATAAACATTAGGCTTGAATTTGATATGAGAGCGATAGCTAAAAAATGAATGGAAACATGAGGGTGATGATGTTAGTTCGAGATCTAATATGGTAGATTTGACAGATAGTAGGTAAGAAATAGAGGTGTTACCATTTACAAGCATGAGTGGTACAAGTATGAGATTCTAACTTTTAGAAGGTAAAAATGTAGTGTGGCTATGTAATTAGACTTACCAGATAATTGAGATGCCTAACTGAGATAGTATGTAGTTATAAGATATTACAATTAGATAATGATTATTTTTCATGTCTTCCTATATAGTATATCTGATTTTTTCCCTTAAGAGTTAGACGACGCGATCCTATAAGCTAACGAGAATAGGTTAGGAGAAGCATCTTACAAATATGTCTCACAATGAATCTCAGTACCAGCTTACGGAGAGCCTAGTAGGCATGAGAAAATCCATTTCCAAGTATTAGAGTAAAATAAATATAGACAAATGTTGAGATGATGGAATAGATCCATAAACTTTTCGGTGTCAATCCAAACTTAAGGGGGAGATGATAATATGAATAACCAAGTCAAGTATTACGGATGATATAATGATGTGTTCCGAAAGAGGTATATCAATCCATTCATAATCTTTTGTATTCCTCAAGTCCAGTTATTAATACATCTTGTTGACGTTTCTAATATTTGAATTGCGTGTATGACCTATGCTCATATACTTAAGAGAGATTCATATCTATGATCAGTTTTAAAAAATGATGGGTAAAGACTTCAGCCCATTAATATCAACCTTAATTCATATCATTATATGAACCCATTCATATAACCATTCATGTCTCATAGTATGTTTATTCTACCAAGTTTATTATTTACAATCAATGGCTAGCAATATAATTTTGTTTCATTCATATTCTTTTATCGAATATCTCAAATGAATCGTGCTTATAATATTTTTCCTTAAATCCCTCTTAGTGATCCCTTTTCGTTTAGGGTGTTGTTGTTCTTAATAGTTGTGTGAAGGATAGAAAAGAGGATTGATGTTTCTTGTTGTGATAGTGATGGTGTGTTTATTCAATCTAAGCTTATAAATGTAAAGGAATAAGTAGATAAGGTTTTGCAATTAGTAATGTAATTTTCCTGGTAATATTGCACGAAAGTTAAATGGGTAGAATTGATGAGAGAATGAAGAATCATTATGAGGGTTTGTTAGTAGGAGTTAATGGATTGGTTATAGTAATAGTATTGAATGTGGTGTTGGTATCATGTGGATGAATGCATGATTCATTTTATGTTTCTTGATATTGGCTCAAGGTTGACTGAAGCTTAGTAGGGAAGTTCAAAAGTTAGAAAGATAGTTAGAGTAACCACTTTCCCTTCCATCCTCATTTTATCCATCATTCGAGGATGAATGATACCAATGGAGAGATAATGTAACACCTCAAAATTTCTAAGTTAATCCCAAACCATTCTTGAATGACGTATAAAGTTGTACTGAGGGAATCTTAATATTTCGTAGGTATTAGGTGTAACACTTCAAAAATCCAAGAAATATTCTAGATCCTAACATAAGTTTCATAAGTTTTAGACACTATTTAAAGGTCCACTTTAAATATTACAAGTTATTTAGGAAGTCTAGAAATAAAAACGTCCAAAAAACGTCCATGATGTCCGGAAACTAGTTCAAGGAGTTACTAGCGTGCCTTAGCCTATTTGACTAGATTTAAGAAGTAGAAAAATGATGAAAATTGGTGGAATGGTGTATAACTTGTGTTTAATTTGACTTACGATCGAAACGTCCAGGTACGAATCCCCAAGGACAAACCAAGGGCCCTTGAGAAGGACCCTTCTACGTTGGAGTCAAAGACTTCCTGGGCAGTGTGCATTGACGAAGGAAGTAGACGAGGCGTATGTTGATCAAAGTGGGTTTCATCCAATCTCAAAATTTGATGTTATGAATTGATTTGATTATGATTTATTTTGCATATTATGAATAGATTAACAAGTATTATAACTCAATTATGATATATTTTAATGGTTTGGTATATTTGTAGAATATGACCCTTTCCCCTTAACCCTAGGTTTTGATTTTGATATGAATTAGATTGTATTCGTTCAATTGACTTGGTTATTGGTTGAATTACTACTAGATGATGTTATTACACTAATTATGAATGGATTATGATGATTTGTAGTCTTTCATGCTAGTTCTTGAGAAAATGATCTAGGTTATTAAGTATGTTTTGAATTGACCTAAGTATCTTGTCTTAAGCTATGATCTAGCATTGAATTGTTATGTAGTGATTATTCTAGCATTGTTATCATGTTCATTTTTGACTTGTGATGATGTATATACAAATTGTGTTCAGTTGAGGTTTTGTGGTAAGACCGTGATAATGAACTATGAAGAAGACTTAGTAAGTCATATGATCCCTATCCTTTAATTCAAATGGTGGTTAATTGTGATTAAGGCATGATGTTGCATTGGACTATGCCTTGTATTAGGAATTATAGGATGGTATGATGTTTACTTGAAATGTCTTGACTATGATTTATGAGGTATTAGCTTAAGATATAAATGTTATAAGGATGGTGAATAATTTAACAATGTGCCATGTCAAGATATAAGAATGTTAATGTGCTAGCCTCTTTGATATCAATTGTAATAAAGGACAATCCTCAAGCAATTATTACTGAGTTGTGATGATGATGATGTTATAATAGGATTATATCCTATGACCTACAATAAGATATGATAATTAATAGAGACACTAAAGACATCTCAAGAAGGGACTCTAGCTTAGCACCGAGTGAACTAGAGTGAGGAGTGTCACTTCCCACAAAGGAAAGGTAGGATCACAAATGTACTCTTAAGATTGAAGACTACAATGCATGTAGCATAAATAGGGCCCCAACTATATCTCCTAGTTATTGAACTATGTTGCCTCCATAGGAATACTAGCTAGTGGATCCACGTAGTTGCTATGATAATGTTTCGGTTCTACCTTGGCATGTAGTCTGCCTTCTTTCGGTGTAGGGTTTCATGACACTGTATTCCACATTAGCTCATGTGGTCTATGTCAGTGAAGGCAAGATGTTCTCAAAAGGTAAAATGAACTAAAGGAATGAACTCTATTAAGGTGACCTAAGGGGATTAGCTTAGTCTAGGTAGGGGTATGGGACTCTACCTATACATTGCACTAGTTAGCCTTAAAGGAAGTGTTAAGGAGGATGTTCTTATGTATGTATATTCTTATAAATAAAAATGATGTTTATATGACGATCTTACATGTAAATGATGATATGTGATGTCCATTGCTCTTATGAACACATACATGGTCTATAATGCTAAAGCTATGCTATTGTGTACTCATAATGTTATTTTATGTGAAGTGGGATGTTGGTCATGATTCTTGTTGAGTTAATTGATTGTGTAAGGTTATGGGTCTTTCCTTAGTTATTGCACTTATTGACTTGTTAGGGGGTTATGGGTAATTATCTTACTTTGGTTATGTTGAAGTGTTCTCTTATTCATGCTTGTTGCCATTATGACTTGATGATAGAGTTACTTTGACTATATGTCTAAATGCATGATATGCATGTTGGATTGACTAGTTTTGATGTTGTTAGTCTTGTAATTTACATGCCTATGACTTCATGAATATGTCCTAAGTGATTTGGTATGGTCTAGTAGATTATGCATAAGTGTTTTCAAACAAATTGCATACCTATATGAAATTTCCCTTTTCTTAGCATGATTTTAAAGTATGTGTTCATATCGTCTCATACTTAGTACAAGTGGTGTACTAACCCCATTTCTTTCTTTAACCCAACATTTTAGGTTCCAGTCGTTGAAGTGCTTTTGAAGATGACTTGATATTAATCCAAGTAGGGTTGGTCCTCACTTTCCGAGGGCAAGGTTAATATCAAGCTATGATATTATTCTATTATTAAACTCTCATGTTTCTTTCCTTTTTATGTAGTATGGAATATTGTATAGCCCCTGTGAGGCATTCTTACTTTAACGTATGGACTATGCCCAAGTTCTTACACTCTTATTAGATTGTTATGAGATGAGATGACTATTATGACTATGTTATATATATATGTGTGTGTGTGTGTGTGTGTGTGTGTGTGCGCAATAGAAGTATAAAACTAAGTAATCTTTCGATACGAAGGGTCTATGTATACTCGATATATATATATATATATATATATATATATATATATATATATGTAGTATATAGTAGTACGTAACTAACTACTATTAGTATA